AAAGTTCCTGCTCACAAGGTTTGTGGGATCACACACAGCTTTCTTTTCCCCTGCTATGGGGTTCTATTTGTTCTGTTCTCCATCGAAAGACCCTTATACCATTCCACATGCCCTAGCTCAAAATTTTCTTATTTATAGGGTCAGTGCATCATATTATCTTTGCAAAATGCAATTAAGGAGTTGTATAAAACATGTTATCTTCTCTTACACTAGATAAAATAAATTTACACTCACCTGTACATTTTAAGTTTTACAGCTAAATGGGGAGGGGAAATACTCCTAAAATTGAAATTATTATATAATTCTACCTACTTAAATATAGCTGCCTACAACCATGGCTGATTTTCTTCTTCTTTTTTTAAATGCAGTATGTTTTGGCAGTTGGTAGCTCTGTCTTCTACGCCATGTTTTATGGAGATCTTGCAGAGGTCAAATCTGAAATCCATATACCAGATGTGGAACCTGCAGCCTTCCTAATCTTATTAAAGTAAGTGGTAGTAAAGATAACTTGGATGAAAACAAAGCTTTTCAACAGTCTTTCAGCAGCTTGGGAACATGGGTTTAAAGGCCTTTAAGGGTGGTTGATGTTAAATGATTAGCTGCAACCATATGCCTGTTCTTTTTAAAAATGGGATTATTTTCTCTCTTTTTTCTTTTCTTTTTTCTTTTTTTCTTTTTCTTTTTTGCATCGATAGGTACATGTACAGCGATGAAATCGACCTGGAAGCAGACACTGTGCTTGCTACTCTGTACGCAGCCAAGAAATACATTGTCCCGGCATTAGCAAAAGCTTGCGTCAATTTTCTGGAGACCAGTCTAGAGGCCAAGAATGCTTGCGTTCTGCTGTCTCAGAGCAGACTCTTTGAGGAGCCGGAGCTGACGCAGCGCTGCTGGGAAGTCATTGATGCTCAGGCTGAGATGGCACTAAAATCGGAGGGCTTCTGCGAAATAGATCAACAGACGCTAGAGATCATCGTGACGCGGGAAGCCCTGAACACGAAGGAGGTTGTGGTGTTTGAGGCAGTCCTGAACTGGGCGGAGGCTGAATGCAAAAGGCAAGGGCTGCCGGTTACACCAAGGAACAAGCGGAATGTATTGGGGAAAGCTTTGTACTTGGTACGGATCCCAACCATGACTCTGGAAGAGTTTGCCAACGGGGCTGCTCAGTCCGACATCCTAACGCTTGAGGAAAGGCATAATATTTTCTTGTGGTATACTGCTGCCAATAAGCCCAAGTTAGAATTTCCGCTAACAAAGAGGAAAGGACTTGTACCCCAAAGGTGCCACCGATTTCAGTCCTCCGCCTACCGTAGCAATCAGTGGAGGTACCGAGGTCGGTGTGACAGCATCCAGTTTGCTGTTGATAAAAGGATATTTATAGCCGGACTGGGATTGTACGGGTCGAGTTGTGGGAAGGCGGAATACAGCGTCAAAATTGAACTGAAGCGGCTGGGAGCTGTTCTTGCCCAGAACCTGACGAAGTTTACCTCTGATGGATCTAGTAACACTTTCTCAGTATGGTTCGAGCATCCCGTGCAGGTTGAGCAAGACACCTTTTACAATGTGAGCGCCATCCTGGATGGCAATGAGCTGAGTTACTTTGGACAAGAGGGAATGACCGAAGTACAGTGTGGAAAAGTGACGTTCCAGTTCCAGTGCTCCTCGGACAGTACCAACGGAACTGGAGTGCAGGGAGGGCAGATACCTGAACTCATTTTCTATGCATGATGCATTTCACTTAGAATGTATTCCGGGACTGCTCTGCATATTATGGGATACTCTGACCTGACTGGAAATATTCCAGGGCGATTTGGAATGTTCCGCTACTTTTAACTGTCTACTTACCATCTGGCTATCAAACTAAGTGAAGGAATGCTCTTGAATTTAATCTTATTTTATTTATTCATAAGCTATTTGACTTAATTATTGAACTGCAACATGCAGGAGGGGGAAATGTTTTAAAAAATTTGCACGTGACGTGCGTTTATTTTGTATATAGATAAACTAACTTGCAGACTGCAGCTGGCTCAAACAGAATGTTCTAAAGTAGAGCGGTTTGAGAATCTGTTGAATATAAAACATTTTTACTTGTCCTAGATACCTGTGTGCTTTGCTGATTACTGGATCCATGGTCCCTTGTGTTCACATTCATGTTTGCATATAGTATGACTTAAGAGGCTCAACGCAAGGCTGCACTCCCACACCCATTTATACAAACCTAAGCTCTGTTGGGTATTAAAGACACATAGGCTTCCACTACAGTGAACTCTTAAATTTGCAGTTTATTCACTTGGGCATTTCTGCTAGCTGAAATGTACAGTCCCTGATAACTATGGTCCTATTGGGTCCATCAAAATAAGAGATACAATAAATGTACCAATTTCTCTTGATACAGGAATGTGCTGGCACAAGGTGCCATAAACCTTTTGTGCAGCTCAAATGGTTGAAATCTCTGCAAAGAGTTCTATTAAGCTGAAATCATTGCGCTCCAATACCAATGGATGTTTACTTACTAAACAACTATAGTATCTCAACCCTGTCATTCTTTTTGTAAGGTTAGCCAATAACTACAGGCAAACAAACTTTTCTTCAGTCTGTCAAATGAAGCAATGCAAGTACATCCACTTAGTTTTCAAAATCAAAAATTATAGCAAACTAATCTTATTCATGTTTTCCTGAGAATGGGTTATTTTGAATTTTGAGGGATTAACTTCTGAATAAGCAAACACGGGGTTGTACTGTTACTATTTGTAGAATTTAAATACCTTTTTAAAATTGAGGGGTGGGGTGGGGAATACTGTCTAAATTAGTTTTTACAACACAATAAATCCCCAGTAGGATACTCAGTTCATCATATACCCTATAGAAAAAGGTCAGAAATGAGTCTTCTCTCTCTCAAGATATTTCACAATCACTTTAAACTAGAAAGTAAAATATATTTATTGCCTCCGTTTTCACCTATATAAACTCTGAGCTAAAGCAACTGGAGATCTGTCTCTAATTTCAAAGTTTACTTGTTTTCTTGGTGGTTTTGGCAGCCATGATGCCCTTTTACTAGAACAGATCCTGAGAGTTTGCCATAACCAACACATTTTCAGAACATAAGCTCAGATTGATTGTGGGGGTTAAACATTCGCATCTGAAGCAAGATTCAGTTAATTAGGTAACATAGAAGTTTAAGAGTGAAGAAAGAAAGTCAAACGAGCCAAGATGTAAAGAAAGTTACAGCAAATTCTTTGCATCCAATGGAGTCAAAAGCTCCACTGTGACACATTTTTGCAACTAGCTATAACTTCACAAAGTCACAGTCAAATTTGGGCATATACCGCACCCCAAGTAGCTCTTTGGAGCCTAGGCAGCATCTTTACAAAGATCACCATGACTGAGAAGCCAAGCAGCTTTTGAGATACTTCAGCATCATGCCAACAAACTCCTACAAAACAATACTCACCACAAATATATACTGATGTCACTGATGCAATATTCCTGTCCAACCTTTTAAGATCCAACAATGCAAGATGCTTGGTGTGCTTTAAAAGAATATTTGTATTGCCACTGTCCCATTTCAGTTAATTTGACAACTGTAATGTTAGCTGGTCTCTGCATAAGTTCCTGAATAACTTGGGTATCCTGAGAAACCAAAAGCTTAAATATTCTAGTAATCATGTAGGACAGCATGCAATACATGCAAGCTTTCGGAAGTAGCTGGCACAGCTTTATGGCTAAGAGTACATGCTACGACACCCCCGTTTAAAATCTCACCTCTGCCATGAACTGCCCAGATGACATTAGCCAAGCCACTCTCAAACCTTTGCCATCCATTATGGAGTGTAAACAGGGGCTACCACTGACCTATGGTGTTATTTTAAGATGGCTGGGGTAGCATATGTAAAGTGTCCGGACACTCTAAAATACTATAAAAATTATAAGAATTATTATTAAAGTAGATATCAGAGTTATTACCAGACAGGTTCTGGACAACAATTACACAAGTGCCTTGATTAATGTGGACTAACCTGCTTGTAAAAATTAAATGCAGTTTTTTAAAAAAAATGGTTTTTCACATTTAGTCAATTTTGGGGTTCTGACTTGCCACAATATGTATACGTTTAACAACATCAGGCACACAGCAGCGCTGTTACCATTGCTGATACATATCCTTACAGGAGTTAGTACTGCCTGGAAGTTTGATGCCAATAGAAGGCATTGCTGGTTTATACTCCCATAGCACTAACAGTGCATGGAAACAACCCCCAGAGAGTCTATGTTTAACACCAGTGTTACAACCACTGCCCAAATCTGCTTTGATTTCTCGAGGTTGTTGATGAAGCACTGACCTTTTAAGGTGGGTTACATCAAAGCCAGCCAAATATTGACCGACTTCTGTCTGAAGCAAAAGAGCACTTTTAAAGGTATTTTAATCTCTTTATTATTTCAAACCAAGAAGATGGATTATTCACCTACACATCCCTCTTAGAGGAGATCCACATACATACACAAGGGTGTGATGTTGCTTCTGAGCAGATCTACTACCAAGAAGCCCAAGTGGCTGAATGGGTAAGTGCTGGTTGCAATACGTCAATGTCTAATTGCAAAGTCTCCCACACTAAAGGTGACCACGTTAAATATTTGCTAAGATAAATTTGCACCATTTCTACTGAATTTCAATCAACAATTTCATGCTTTTAATCCGAGCCTGTTCGTTTACTTAAAATAAATAAATAAATAAAAGACAGAAGTAATTGGAAGAGGGAGCCTTATCTTGCTCACACTGCTGATAATAAACTACTTAAGATTTTTCTGTTCTAAAGTTACCTCTGTGCTTTTAATTGGCAGCTTTCATCTCTGGACTCCTTGGATTTAGTATTAAAATGCCTTCTACATACAGGTTAAATTGCATTATGTAAATGTTTTGTTTTGTTTTTTAGCTTGAGAAGCTGCCATGAGATCATGGCACAAGTATACCCACGTACCGAAAATCAACTCTTATTAAAAAATACCTATAGCTGGAGCATTTATGCAGAGCTCTCTGGCCAACAGAAGAAAAGTTTTTCCCAGCACGTAGACATTCACCTGTGTAAGGAAGGGGGGAAAGGGTACTTTGATTATTAAGCAGCAAAAGTTAAAATGTACTTGTATAGAAATAAAACTGTATCCTGAATATGATTTAAACAAGTGTTCACATGTTTTAAACATATAAAAGTATAAACCTCTGGTGCTATTATTTACCAGTCTCATCGGCAGTGCCGGATTTACGTATAAGCTAAACAAGCTATAGCTTAGGGCCCGACTCTCTTGGGGGCCCCCCAAAAAAATGTAAAGGAAAAACAACCTGGATGTCCATTTCCAAAATATAAGATAAAACACAAATAAAATAAAACCTACATACAGCAACAGTGGCAAATGGCTTTAGATACCTATTAGGTGCATAAATTATCATACAGCATATACTCAACACTAGAAACAGCGACAATTTGTTGTTGACAAAGGACAACTGGACATATAAAGGGTTCCCATTACCTTCAGTAGCTTAGGGCCTCATCAAACCTAAATCCGGCCCTGGTCTTCGGGCAAAAATATCCACACTGAGTCATAATACTGTGGTGACTTTGCACTAGCAGAAACATTTCCACTCAATTTTCACCAATTCCATCTACCCACTGTAGACTCTTGTGCCTGCCAGAAAGATGTGTCTGAAGGCCAGCCAGCGTGGGATGTGGCACAGAGAGAACAGGCACAAAGAACAGCATGGGATACAGCACAGAGAGAGATACAGAGGAGAGGCTGAGCATTGTCAGCAAGTGGGTTCTGTGGCTTGAACCACCGTAAGCACTTTCCACTAGGCCAAAACTACGATTGGATACAACCTAATAAAAAGAACTGGAAGCTTCACCGCATGCCATGTGTGGCCTTTGATAGGCTACCAATTTCATGGAATGGGGGAGATGGAAGGGACCACAAGGACCATCTAGTCCAACCCCCTGCCCACCGTGGGGCTCAAACCAAAGGCTCTTAGATTAAGAGTCTCATGCTCTACCGACTGAGCGATCCCAGTCGCTAAGCACTTTGGTAATTCTCAGATTTTTTTAGCTTGAATCACAACCTTCGTAGTTCATACACGGACACACACGCACGTGTGTGTGTGTGTGTGTGTGTGTGTATGTTCGTATATGAACTGTATATGGAGCCCAGGGTGGAATCGGTGTACAAATGTCAACATTTTTCACTTTCTGAACATCCATTATAATACATAGATACAGATGATTTCAAATTGCTGTTCTGAAAAATACTACATTTGGGGTATTGGAGGAAGAAAAAGACTTCCACCAAGTCAATGGGAAAACAGAAAGGGGTGTCAGAAAATGTATAGCAGAGGGTCAGAGGGTAGTGCATAAGTGGCACTCAGTAAACCCAGATGCTGATCAGGGTGTAACAAGCTGATCTAAAAGCTCCTTCAAGCTTTTATAATCTGTGGATGGCTACCTATGCTTGTGGGGGGGGGAGCCCCAAATTTCACTGACAGTAATCATTCTCATTTCATAGTTATTTATACTTAGTATGTGTTTTGTACTATGCAATAGGTTCTATAGATGTCCTATCAAGAAAAAGGCTTTATAGGTTTTTGGGAAACTGCTAAGAGAAGTGAAGTGCTTTCTCCAAGTTACAGTGCCACCCTCTTAATAGGATGACCTGCAGCTCTAAGCCTTCTTATACTTCCTCATGTACCGAATAATCAATAGACACTTCTGCCTACTAGTTCTCTGCCCCTTACCATTTTTAAGTGGAAAGCGAGGGGGGGTTCACTGTGCTGCTACAAATTAAATCCAGCAGAGCAAGAGAAACTTGTAATCAATGCCAAATGTATTGCAAGGAGGGAGGGACAACAAGTAAGTGGGGTCAGGGCTAAGGTTACCAGACGTTCCTGTTTCCCGGGGACAGTCCCCAGATTTACAAATCAGTCCCCATACAAAACTGAAAAGTGTCCCCGGATTTATTGAAAAAAATCTGGTAGCCTTAGGGCACAAAACTTAATTTCCACCAATGTTTAGGGGCACCAGCATCTGGAAGTGTCCCCCCCCCAAAAAAAGACCCTAAAATATTCAAGAAGCTTCACTTCAGATATCACATTGCAATGCATTTTGCATCTTTCTCCCTCCCCACAGCCTTGAAAAAGTGTGGGATTATCGTCAAACTGCGTCTTGAACAGCACTTGGACTGAACTAGTTCAACTGGATGAAGTTCACAGAAGTAGTTCAAAAATGAACTACACCTGAAAGTAGTTCCCATAATTGCCAGGTCACCTGAAGGCAAATTAAGTTCATTGGGGTAGAATTTGGAACCATATCTAGTTTATCTTCACATACACCCTCTGTACCCCCCCCCCAGCAGGAGCCCCGACTCTGATTTAGCTTTTCTTTAATGGAGGCAATGTTCTAAGGCTTATTTGGCAGATATGTCAGCGCTTCTGTTGCTAAGGAAGCTTAGTCGCTTAATCACTCTTGCTAAGCATCCAGAAAGAAGGAATGTGAGGCATTTCCTGTATCTTCTCTGAGAAGATATTTACTCTCTTCCAACAGGAGCAGCTTGAAGCAAGAAATACAGGTACAGAAACAAAGTGAATGATGCCTTGTGCCTTTAACTGCTGTGTGACTGGCATAAATTAAACAGAATAAGCCTTTTGTAGTATGGAAATAAAATTATGGGGAAAGAGCCACCTGTTAACATTCTGCCAATTAGACATCTTATTACTGAGTGTGACCACAATATAATTTTGGACGCTATACTCTACAATTCTATGATTCTAAGATAAAGGCAGCATTACAATTTATTTTTCATTTTCCTCCTTTACCCTGCCAAGTTTTTTTTTAAGTGCTTGGTCCAGCTGGTGGTCACACCAAAACATGGTTTGCACCAACCATCTTTTGAACAAATCATGGACTGAGGTTCCCAAACTAGGGTAAGCCATAGTTGCGTATTCTACCTGTTCAGTTGCTCCAGTTTCTATTAGTGCAAAGGCTTCCCAGAGGCAGAGTAAAAGCTATAACTATGGTTTGTCAAGTCACACAGCATACCAAATCATACTTCATGTAAACCATGGTGTTCAAATCCCATCCATGACTTCAGAGTCTAGTTTGTTATCAGCAAGCCAGTGCTTGCTTACTGAGATAGCATACCAAGCCATGGTTACAATTACTTTACTATGGTTTGGTGTAAATTCACTCAAACTGGTATGTCTGCTCCTGAGTGTCATGACGTCCACTCAAATGACTGCAATTCACTGCACCCCAAACCCCAGAGCATTGGGGTGAAGACTTCTGCTCAGACAACACTGGATTTTACCCATATTAGTTTACCTTGTTTTGTCTAAAACTGGAGCCAGAAGAATATAGAGCAGGTGTGGAGAACCTTTAGCCCTCCAGAAGTAGCAATTGGCAATTGGCTGTTGAGAGTTGTAGTTCAACATCTGGAGGGTCAAACGTTCCCCACACCTGAAGATAGTGGATTGCGGTTTAACAGTGTCAGTATTGTGGTACTGGTGGCGCTGTGGGTAAAAGCCTCAGTGCCTAGGGCTTGCCGATCGAAAGGTCGGCGGTTCGAATCCCCGCGGTGGGGTGCGCTCCCGTTGTTCGGTCCCAGCACCTGCCAACCTAGCAGTTCGAAAGCACTCCCGGGTGCAAGTAGATAAATAGGGACCGCTTACTAGCGGGAAGGTAAATGGCGTTTCCGTGTGTGGCTCTGGCTCGCCAGAGCAGCGATGTCACGCTGGCCACGTGACCCGGAAGTGTCTCCGGACAGCGCTGGCCCCCGGCCTCTTGAGTGAGATGGGCGCACAACCCTAGAGTCTGTCAAGACTGGCCCGTACGGGCAGGAGTACCTTTACCTTTACTGTGGTACTGATCTCTCTTTTGATTATTTCTGTCCAAAAAGAAACAACAGCAGAAAGTAAAATGACCTTAAACCAGCCCAGCATTGACAATTCTGACTAGCAATGGTTCTCAACAGTCTTCAGCAGAGGGAGGTCTTTCCTATCGCCTCCTACCTGATCCTTTTTACCAGGAATTTCTAGGGTGTCCTACTACTGAGCAATTCCCCCTCCACACACAGACACCACAGACAATGATTCCTTTATTTTACCCCCCCCCCAAAAAAAAAAAAATCCCGAAGAAAAGCTGTCTCTGTCTCTAATCTACCCTACTTCTATCATTTGTACTCCAAGAGCAAGGCAGACAGCTTAGCTTTGCAAAAAGGAAAAACAAAACACTTGATATCAGAGACCCTTGGGAATTTCTGATCTAAACTCTCAAAGTACAATTTCCCAGAGTTTGGTTTTGTCATCGATTGAGATAGGAAGCCTGCATGCACTGCTCACTATTCCATTGCTCCACTGGGTTTTTCCATAGACCTCATACATGTTTAATGCCAGCACAAAAAGTCAGCAGGAAGAAATTGGTTTAGAGTCCCTTGATAAGCAAGTGTTACTGATGCTTCAGCTGGAGAACACACACATGCTCACACTTCATTTTGGAATTATAAAGTATTTATAAGCTTGAATCTGGAGCTTTATACCAACAATGAGAGAGGGGATAACCACAAGGTACTCAATGTGAATCAATGATGGGGCTGCGTTGTTGCATTGTGTCAATTTACGGTGCTTTGCTGTAAATATTTTACAACAATCCGTCCTCTGCTCTGGGTCTTTTTCCTTTTTCCTTTTTTTTTTTTTTTTTAGCAGCAGGGCGGTGGAAGGAGGAGTGTCATCATCTGCACACATTCAAAATTCTTGCTTCTTACGTGGATTCCATCAAATCGCACAGGGTGCATTTCACTTTTTGGTTGCCGCAAACTCCCTTTTCAAAGATAAATACATCTCTTTCCTACAATTCTCAGATCTCCGCAGCATCCGGCACTGCCTTTGCCACAATCTCACTTCGGCAAGCCACGTTGCTCTTAGGCCTCGGCTCTCCATCTGCAATGTTGGAAATGGGGATCCGCAAATTTTGACTGGCATTGGTAACCAAGCCAAAATCTGTGATCACCATCATTCTGCCCTCCCCTTCTCTGCAACCTCAACT